GCTAGGACCGAGGAGCGCGTCGGGCCGCGGCTCCGGTTGGGTCCCGGCGCTGGCGTCACCCGCGGAGCTCGACAGGCGCGGGACTTTTCCACTCGAGAAACAGCAAATGAGATGGGGGTCAGCGGCAGCAGCGACTTTGGGTACCGGTGCTGACCACTGAATGGTAAGTTAAAGGTATGTATTAATGTTCAGCCCGGATGTCAGGAGTGTCCGTACATGCCGAGCCTGGGGCTTTACTTAGGATTTAAGGATGCAGAACGCTCCGCAGAAGCGGTGTCAGCCTGCGCTGGGCGTTAACCCTGGCAGGCCGCCGTGTACCCCGCACCCTCTCTTGCTCCCCCACCCCAGCAGTGGGGTGGAGGAAGAGAACCTGAAGGGCAAACGTGGGAAGACACGTGGGTTGAGGTGAAGCGAAGTAGCGTGTGCGAGCAAAGGAAAATAAGGAATTTACTCACCGCTTCCCATAAACAGGCAGGTTTTTAGCCGTTTCCGGGAAAGCAGGGCTTCATCACATGTAATGGTGACTTGGGAAGGTAGATGCCATGATGCTGCGTGTCTCCCCCTCCTCCTCCTCTCCCGCATGGCGGCGTGTGGCGAGGAAGAGCCTTTCCGTCACTTTGGTTCAGCAGACCCGGCTGTGTCCCCTGCGAGCTTCTTGTGCCGCTGGGACTGCGGGAGGAGCAGTGTGAGAAACAGAAAAGACCTTGACGCTGTGTAAGCACTGTTCAGTGGCAGCTAAAACTGTTTTGGTCACGGATCCAAAACACAGCACCCCACGAGGTACTCTGAGAATTAACTGTGCCAGCTGGAACAAGTACGGTGTGAAAGACAGAAAGTTGAAATAACTATTTTAAATGTTGTCGTGCAATTTTTACTTTGTCTGATATACTTTTCAAAGGCCTCAGAGTCTTAATTGTTTGCAGTAGGAGAAATTCGGCTTCAGGATATACAGCAGATTATTACAAAGAAGTTTATGACTGTACAGGGAAATGTGTGGTTTGTCAATTCAAACGGCATAAATTAAGTATATAGCAACACTGTCTATTGGTCTGGCTTACCTTCTTTGTATTTAGAATAGAAACAGCCAGTTTAATTTTTTTAGAGCAATATTTTACAAATAGTGGAATAGTACTGCCCACGGTTTAATCCTTCAAACGATGTACTTCAGACTTGGGATTGTATAAGAGAAGAAGGGCACTAGTGTTTCAAAGAGTCTTTCTGAAAAAGATAAACTAGCAAAAGATTAGCAAAAGACAATCTAGATAAAGATGGTCAACGATTGTTAGTCTTTGGAATTTTTATTTAAGCACCATTGGTTTCTGTTGTTACTTCTGGCAAAAATGATAAAGCAGAGGATGGGGAATAACTTCTTACATAAATAACAAATTAGTAAGGCTATTTGTTAGTGGTGGCTTTTTAGTTGGACCCTGGATACACCAAGGATTAGGCTGTTTATTGTTCCTATACCACTGGAGCTAACGCTGTGTAATAGCAACTGAAACTTTGCAGTCACCTGTTGGTAGCTAAACGAGATTGGGAGCTAAAACGGAGAGTTACCAAAAATTAAACTCAGTATAGACATTGCAAAGGTACTGATATGAGCAGCATAAAGTGTCTCAATGCAAAGAAAAATTACAGAAGGTGGCCAATAGTTCAGAGAAGATGTGGGAGAGATTAATAATGACCTAGTAATGTCTCTTGAACTAAATTAGCACTTTGTTCCACCTTTTAATAAGGGCAACATTAGTTCTGGAGAGTTAAAGAAAGATGACAGAAAAGAAGGTCTGAAAATAGAAGTTGTACAGCAGAGGTAAAAAAAAATTCCAGTTGGAAGGTGATACTGAGTAATTTCCATTCTAGAGTTCCAAGAAGACAGACAAGCTACTGAAGAACCTATAAAGGGTGTTTACTAAATGTGCTGCGATCATAGTAGTACAATGTGGCAAAAGAAAGCACAAGCAGTTCCTTGGTTTATGAAGGGAGAAAAAGATTTAAGTATAGGCAAGTTTGTAAGTGCAGTCCTGGTCACATACAAGATTTTAGAGTAGATTTTAGAAGGACTATGACAAAATAAGGAGAAATGTGATTAATTTGAGCAACTTGATCTAGTGAAACGTGTCCCTGCCCGCAGCAGAGGGGTTGGAAGATCCTGTCCAACCTAAACCACACTGGGATGAAAGCTCTTTATTATGACCTTACTGCAGAAGAAAACACATTGTGTAACAGCACTTGGCTGAAGGACTGGGTAGATGTATTAATCTTCAGATGATGACAAGCTCAGATAGATCTGTGCAGTGTGGTGCATCTGCAAAATACAGTCCTAGCATATGTTAAAAATGAAAATTTCCAGCAATGATGAGGGCTTATCACTGTCATGTACAAATGGACAAGGAACAGACATTTCTGGTCTTCTGTGCTAGAGATTAATTGAAACCAGGCCAACTGCGCAGAAGCCACTGGTCAAGGAAGAATGTTTGCTATGAAATGGTATTAGACCAGCTTGTCTTGTTTAATGAAAGAGTAGCAAAGATGAAGACTGGAAGGTGATATGACTGCAGTCCATAAATGCAACAGGGAGGAGGAAAGGCTCTTCACTGTTAAGAGAAATACTGAAAAAGAACAAACTGGTGCAAAGTAGCCGTTGATAGCACTAGCTAAATTTAGTGTTAAAGCAAGTCTGCATAATTTGTATCATGTTCTATTTGAATAGTAATTGGAAATAAAAGGCAAAAACCAGGATTGAATTATTCTTCTTGTTGTTATAAAATAAACTCTTCTAAATTAGATGGAATCATATTTTTGAAGTTAAAATTTGCCAAGTACTTTTTATATTGAAGAAAAACAAAAGTAACGTTCCTAATTAATCTGACTTTATGTATTTTCTGACTGCATATCTAGGCTGTTAATTTCAGGGGATCAAAATTCATGATTCAGGTTGGGAAAACTATGAATTTCACCCCTCAAATAATTACATCTTTAAGATTCTCTGTTCTGCTGTGTCTTGAGTTCTGTATTTTGCTCTTCTGCTTCTAGAGTCTGCTGTTGTTTCAGATCTCTTCCACAGTTCCTTATCAGATTATGTATTTACCTATTAGGCCTATAGTATGTTTCCAAAATAATGATTACCCAAGAAATAGAGGTATATATTATATTTTTCTAGTTCTCTTTAAGTATGTGTGTAAACTGCAGGTACATCAGTATGCAGGATTAATTTCCAGAAGAAAGCTTAAGTAGCTTTAAAAAAATCACCTGAGCAGCTAGGTGTGATTTGCTTCAACAACTCCACACTCCAGTTTGTAATTTAAATTAAATTCTGGGGAGGCAACTGTGTATTGCTCAAGAGAAGGAAAACTTGTTTTTCTGGTAGGTGTGGCTGCTGTTACTGACATTAAAGAATACCAACCATCTGAAATAAATGTGTCAGTAAGTGTCTTAGGTGTTGTACCAGCATTTTTTTTCCTCGGTATTGTTCTGTATTGAACAATAATTGCAATTTATCTTTAAAAAAATTAAGTTTTTATCTGGTTAGAATAAACAATTTGCAGATTATGCTTTAGCAAAATAAATGGAGGACTGAACAGAACTTCGCTCAGCTATCTGCTTTAAAAGGTACTTTTTCCTATGTTCACTGTTCAAAAACACAGTTGAAAAGATTATTTTTTTTAGTTGTTCATTATTTATAGCTAGCAAAAGCTGAGATAAAAGGTGTAGTACATGAATTGTGTTGTTTAATGTTGACATGTTTTGATATTTGTTTAGTAAAAACTGTTTACTCTGTAAGACTGAACAATATTTTAAGTCATAAATAGGTAAGACTGAGGAAGAAAGTGTTAAATGTGACTTACTCTGTGTTGCAAGAATGCTAAAATACATAACAACCTGGGAATAAGAACACTCAGGGGAAACTTTTTGTCTGACTTAAGAATATTTAATTAAAAGACTTGCAAAATTTGACTTGCTTTCAGTGGCAAATCTCCAGCAGAAGGTTGTATGACAGTAGCAGGCTCCTACCATGTATTTGCAATTCTGCTTTAAATTCTAACGGCTTCTGTGGGGACACTTCAGAGATAAGTCAGTGCTGCTGCTGCTGTTCTGCTTTGTGCCTGGTGCGATGTAGTGAGATTTCTTGTGTCCTGTGACTATTCTGGTCTGTAAAGCAATTTCTTGGTAGCTAGGAAAGGCTGCTATAAATCATACCAGCCTTGGCAAATGGGCCATTTTAAGGGCTATGTTGTGACCATAGTTTTCCTTACTTTGTTTTTTCAAGAAAGAGCAATTGTGAAAAAATTGCTCATTATTCTGAAGGTGTGGACGAATATTTTTTGCCTAAACTTAATTGAGATTCACAAGCTAGATGGCTATATTCAGAAGTGATATCTTACTGGTTGGAAAACAGAGTTTAAGCAGAAAACCAGACCCTAGGGGAATTTTTCAAGCCAAGCGGTGAAGTTGCCAGTGAGTTTAAGCACTTCCAGAGTGATGAAGCTGCTGAGTATGATATCTAGATCAAAAGTATGGATTTATGTTCTTTTTAATTTTGTATCTTACGACTTTTTGAAAATGCTGGTTTTCTGTTCCATCACAAACCAGTACCAAGATAGAGGTTCTCAAAATAGCTTTACACAATGTATGAAATTAAAAAAGAAAAGTATAAAATACTAGGTTTGTTTATTATTTTAGATTTATTAATATGCTTTGGAAAAATACTGTAAGGTATTTAGCATATGCATAAGTACTGGAGCAAGTGCTTTTATTAAGAGTCTTTAGAAGTAAATGAAAGGACAAGAAATATGTGAGTCTTCCAGTATCTGCTGACACCTATGACATTGCTACCTGTTTTAGCTATAAAATATACCTAGAATTTCGGGTCTTTTAATGGTATGATTTTTTTTCTCAGCAGCTGGCTTTATGCAACAATGACATGCCTACTAGAAACATTTTCTTCATCTTGTGCAATAGAATCAGTTTATTCCATCTTGGCATTTTACCACATGCTTCTCGCTGCCAGTCAGGGGTGTTGTCTTCTACCAGGTTTTTGATTAATCTGGGGCACTCTTCCTCCAAGAATGTCTGTGGTGCAAGCAGGCCTTTGAAAAGACTTGCTGTCACCTTACGGTTTATGGATTTTATCTGGATGTCAAAAGCTTAATTTGTGGAGGAAACTTTAATCCGAGTTCCACTTGCAGAAATTACTGATTGAGGGTGCCATGAGCGCTCTGTCAGATATTAACACTTGCTAGTCCATGAGTGCTGCTAAAGACTGGCCCTCCAGGTACTCAGGAATGTCTGTCTGTTCCTGCAGCAGCAAGAGTTTAAGACCTGACCCCCAAACTGTGTCAGGAACTGAGCCAACATTAATGCAGTGTGAGGAGGCCCAGATCCCTAGCAAGCAAGAGGCGACCATCCCTGCAAGCTACCCTAAGTAGGGTAGAGCTGATTAAACTGAGAAGTTTTGTACCCTCATAGATTTCATCTGTCTTCTGTTGAATTATGGTATGAATTGACCTTCCTCTGTATGTATTTTCTCATCTGTGGTAAACTGCAAGTTAGGGAATTATACCTTACGCATTGTATCTGGACCATCATGCACAATCTCCAAACTTGATTAATTCTGTATAAATTGAATTTATATATCTGCCCCTAACTTGTCTGTGAGAAGTCCGGTTGAGTTTTTGAGGTTTTTTTCATGTATAATTTACATATACATTGTGTAGGGGAAAAAAAAAAGTAACTTTTGTTTTGCTTTTAAAATTACTGTCTAATTATTTAATTGGATGTTCTAGAATTTGGAATATAGAAAATAATGAATGACTCTTTGTTCTCCTGTATGTAGACCTCTATCATGTTCTCTGACAGAACCCTCCATGTACAGAAACTGTTCCACATGTCTGACATATAGAGGCATTCAATGTCCATCTCATTAAAGGTGTGTTCTGTGAATGGTTTTTCATGAAAGGAGAGTAGCTGAGTCTCTGATTATGCCAGTGCACAGTGATAGAGATTTGCCCCCATCTTGTTTGTGAAATTCTTGAGCAATGATCACGAGTCAATATTATCTCATACTACATATTTTCTCTTCTGCAGATGCGGCAGCATAAAGTACAAGGACAAAGAAATTTGCATCAGCATTTAGATACAATCAGAATGTTGTGTGGTGGGAAAAAATCTTACTTTGCTGCTGCTGTGTGCATTATTACTCTAACTTCAATGGTCACACTTTCTTATCTTAGGTTACAGAGACTTTCTCACCTGCCAAAAATAATTCAAGAAGGTAGCAGATGCAGAGGGAAAATTACAAATAGCACAATAACAGCGTTAAAAGACAACAGAACTTTTATTATAGCCCCATACTTTGATGACAGAGAAAGTAAAACCACTCGTGTGATTGCGATTGTTCACCACGAAGATGTAAAAGAACTATACTGCTGGTTCTGCTGTCAGCCCAATGGAAAGATATATGTATCAAAAGCAAAAATTGATGTTCACTCAGATAGATTTGGATTCCCTTACGGTGCAGCAGATATAGTTTGTCTGGAACCCGAAAACTGTGATCCAACACATGTATCAATTCATCAGTCTCCACATGGAAATATTGACCAACTGCCAAGGTTTGAAATTAAAAACCGCAAGGCTGAGACCTTTTCTGTTGACTTCACCGTATGCATCTCTACCATGTTCGGAAATTACAACAACGTCCTGCAGTTTATACAGAGTATAGAAATGTACAAGATTCTTGGGGTACAGAAAGTGGTGATCTACAAGAACAACTGCAGCCAGCTGATGGAGAAAGTCTTGAAGTTTTATATGGAAGAAGGAACTGTAGAGGTAATTCCCTGGCCAATAAACTCACACCTCAAGGTTTCTTCTAAGTGGCACTTTACTATGGATGCAAAAGACATTGGCTACTATGGACAAATCACAGCTCTGAATGACTGTATATATCGTAACATGCAGAGGAGCAAGTTTGTGGTTCTCAATGATGCTGATGAAATAATTCTTCCCCTTAAGCACCCAGACTGGATAACAATGATGAGCAGTCTTCAGGAGCAAAACCCAGGGACTGGCATTTTTCTCTTTGAGAACCATATCTTCCCAGAAACCATATCTACTCACATGTTCAACATTTCATCCTGGAACACTGTGCCAGGTGTTAACATACTACAGCATGTACACAGGGAGCCAGACAGGAAAGATGTAATCAATCCCAGGAAAATGATAATTGATCCACGAAAGGTGATTCAGACTTCAGTCCACTCCGTCCTACGTGCTTATGGGAACATTGTGAACGTTCCCATGGATGTTGCCCTCATTTATCACTGTCGGGTGCCTCTTCAAGGAAACCTTCCCAGAGAATCCCTCATCAGGGATACAACGCTGTGGAGATACAATTCATCATTAATTGTGAATGTTAACAAGGTGCTGCATCAAACCGTACTGTAAGCTCACAAGCGAAACCTCGGTTGTAAGGAGGGAAGGTGGAGAGCCACCTGTATCGTGGGGAGGCAGAGGTGTATAATTTAAAATCACTCCCACATGAAGCTTACATCTTGGAGAGATTTAGGAGAACAGCCTTTTTATGTACTCTACAAAGATCAATGCATTTGGTTTGTGAACAAAATCAGGGTACCTTGTGAGAGTCCACAGTGGTCTAGTGCCATTAAGACCTGTGTTTGTCACGTAAAGTCTCTGCTGCAACTGTGTCAGATGTGAGAGCCGAGGCACAGGGTGAAGGTGACTCTTTCTCAGGCCAGTAACTATGACAGGGTGTTCTTCAAGGCCTTGGGAATGGCCATGCAGAAATTAGAAATTTAGTTTTCCTGATTTTTAACTTTGTCTGTTTTTCTTCACTCACTTTCAATATGTTTTAGGTAGTACAGTGAACCTATAAACTACCTGAAGAAAGAATTGATTTTTGGTTATTTGTATATCTGAAGTACTTGATGGTTAAAAATATACAGCTGTGTTTAGTGGTGCCTATTAAAAGATGGCCTGGGACAGCATCCCTGAGATGAAGAGCTGCAATGGCATTATTACTGTAACTCATGACAATTACAGAGGCAGGATAAGAAAACACATCAGCTGTTGGCACTGGAACTGCTGCTTGTTAGAGGTATTTCTTCTTAAGGGAAACAGAAATTTGTAGCAGAGCTGTAAGTCATTTAATGATACCAAGAATCAGTGCAGGTGGTATTACTTTTTCTGGAAAATATAAAATGAGTCTGTTTCCTATTAAATCAGTATTTCTCTATTGATTCATATAATGCAAAAGGCTATAGACAGTTTTCAACCTATGTACAAAAAATACAACTACAGTCCTTGGTATTAATGTTGCTTAATTCTTGCAGTGTGTATGTCATTGTTTGGGTGCAAAATTTGTATGTGCCAGGTTGAGTAAAAGGTAGACAAATATTGTGAAAATAATTGAGTAAAATCTACCAGTTTCAATTGTAAAAATTGCATGTTGGAAAGCCTTAAAATGGAGGCATGGAATACAGATTGATGTTGAAAAAAAAGGAGACGTGAACTGAAAAGAAGGCTATTTCCAGGTGGAAAGATAGAGGGACAAATGACTGATACATAAGTGCCTTTTTTCTGGGACCTTAAAGCCTCATAACAAACCGTTTCTTTGTGAAAATTAGACATTAGGTGGCTTCTAGTGCTTTACGTGATGGTAAGTTGAATTATGGTGTTTCTTTATGTAGGTGTAAGGGTAAAGAAGCTGCATCTTTTCCAACCTCTATCTAAAAGTAGTGCCGACACTTCTGAAGAGTCAGATGGGAAGCAAAGCAAACAAGAAAAATTTGCTCACTGTAGTTTCACAGTTTCAGTCATATTTTTTCTGTTTGCTAAGCCCCCAAAGCTGTGTGCATTGTACTGATCTGGGAATGTATTAGAACTTTCCTATGAAGGGACATCTGGGTGCAGTAATAGTGTGACACTTCAGTGTGTGACAGATGTGTGTGTGTGAGAGCAGGTATGCTTTTTTTAGTTTCTACACCAGTGTCATGTTTTCATTCCTTCATCTGTTTTGTGGTGGCACATATCTGTGTCCTTAAAGAGCTCTGTCATTAGTGGATTACTATCATCAGCTAGGAAATGTCCAGGTGGAACTTTTATTTGGAAGTCTTCAAGACACAGTCTATAAATAACTGTTTACTAATTGTGTTTGTAATATTCATCAGCTGCTATGTAACAGGCTGAAACTTAATTTATAAAACTAAAAGGGTAGAAGAGCAGTGTAGTGTATTGGATGCTTTTCATCATGTTTTCCTGCTTGCGTACTATGGGACAATGCAGAAAAGTAGAATTTGTTTGAAATTTTCTGCAACTTGCGAAAGTCTCATGGCAGAATCCCTTTCCAGCTACTACTTTCCAGCTTTTGAGAAGCTGTAGTATTTGCTTTGCAGTGACAGCAGCATCTCCCAAAGTCTGTATTAACAAACTCTGGCAGCTGCATTAACACCAGAGGTGCCTGCTGCAGTGGTACTGTCTTGCTTGGCCAGAGGTCCATTTAGAAGTTCAGAGTCACGTAGTTTTGAAGGGGCATCTGGAAGTCCAACTGCCTGCTCAGAGCAGGGTGAGGTATCATGGTTTGCTCAAGTCTTTGTCTAGGTGAGCTGGACACAGTCTTTCTGGGCAACCTGTTCCAGTCTTAAACTACCCTCACAGTGGAGAAGAGCTACTTGGAATTTCGCTTGTTGCAGTTTGTGACCATTGGCTCTTGACCTGCTGCATGGTGCTGACAGGAGTCTGACTTTGCCTCTTCCATACATTGCTAGGTGGTTGGAGGCAGTAGCAGTACCTCCCCAGCTGTGGCCACGACCACCTTCCCTTTTCCCACCGCTCTCTGGAAGGCTGAACTCGGCTCTCAGTTTCTCAGACATCTTGTACTCCACTTCCCTGTTCATCTCTGTGGGCTCTTGCAGGACTTGCTCCAGTGTGTCAGTCTGTTTTGTACTGGGGAACTCAATATTAGACTCAGATGTAGCCTTAATGCACAACAGAGGTGAAGAATATCTCCCCTTGAACTCATGGCTAGTACAGCTCAGTGTACAGTTGGCCACCATTCCCAGATCCTTTCCTGTAAAGCTGCTCCAGCCTGCCTGTTCTGTGGGGTGGTTGTCTCAGGTGCAGGGTGGTGCATTTTCTTTGGTTAAACTTCATGAGATTTCTGTGAACCCACTTGTCTGGTTTGCCGAGTGCCCTCAGAATAGCATTCCCTCTTCTCACACATACTGTTTCCTCTTCCCCTCCAAATTAGTACTGTTGGAAAATTGCTGAGTGTGGGCTCTGCATAATAAAGGTCACTAATAAAGTAGTTAACCCATTCTAGCTCCTGGAGAACAGTTTGCTTAACTGGTTACCAATTAGATTTTGTATCACTGATGACCACTCTTAGAGCTTGGCAGGCCAGCCCATTTTCCACTCCTCTTGCAGTCCAAATATTCACTTCATATTTCACTGGTTTGGGTACAAGGATGTTTCTAACACATTCCCATCTAAATTCCTGCTGTAATCTTTCAAAGTGAATGCAGTGTTTTATAGGTGGCCCATCATCACATGGCTCCTTCAGAGTAAGCTGAGTTACTGCACAGATCATACACAGTATAGTTACTCCCGCATTAAGAATGATGAGAACTGGGCTTCAAGTCAAGTTCCTGAAAACTGTTTCGTGTAAGTTTTTTTCACTTCTGAGTGAGACAACAAAAGCTCTAAGAGATCATCATCTGTGCCTCAGTGTGGTGTGAATCAAGAGCTGTGAATTTGCCTTCCAGTTGATAAAAATCCCTAACTACAAACATGTTTTCAAATGAAGTTTGTGTGGGTAAAGGTGGAAAACCAAGTACTTAAGACTCTACCCTTGTATTCAAGAGACACTGCTCCACTGTGGCTTAATGCAGTTCCTACCACATCACTCAAATACTGATTCTTGCCCATGAAAACTCCCCTTCCCTTGGTGTAATTCATACTGCTTGCATTTGGGAACCTCGGCCTTCATTCAGTACTAAGTATGAAATTATGTCTTCTTGGAGAGTGGAAAGAAAAAAACCCAACATACTAACAATAGTAGTGCTAGGCAGGTTGATCTTTCCAAGATTGTGAGCCAATCTTCATGAAAACTCATGTCTTCAGTTGTGTAAAAAAAACGCAAAAAACAAACCACATTAAGGGGAGATTTTATTATAAGGGAGGAGGGGAAATCAACCTAAAGCATTTCTAAAGCATGTGATGTCATTAGATACAGCTTTTAAATACATGTCAAATACCACAAAAGTATGTGAATAGGTATTTGTTACTCAAGAGTTAACTCACATGTACATCAGGTCTCCTATGATCATCAAAGCAAAAGACCTTTTTCTACTTTTATGCTTTTCTTCAGACTTTTGATTTCCCACCCCACCCCTCCCAGATGTGGCATTCTCACTGTTATTTGCTCCTGCTTTCCAAATCTAGATGTAGCAACTGCAACTTTTGGAAAAAGTGAATGGCTGCTAGACATCATTTGGTGTAAGAGTGACCCTTGCTGTAGAGATTGATCATCATCTTCCCATTCATTGTATTTCTACCTACCTGTGAACTAAGTTACATTCTCACACAAATGATAGGAAATATGGACTATAAAATACTGATCAAGCCATTCTGAGTTACCATCAAGTATGATGAATACTGTCAGAGGTTTTCTAAGGTTAATTGTGATAGTAAGCTCCATCAGATGAAAAGTTGCCTCATTCTCGCTGAGGAGAGTTCATACTGACATGTTCCCAAACTTAAACAAATTATTATTGTTAGCATCTGATCCTAGTTAAAGGACTCCTTTGATTCTTCTATTTCAAAGGCTAAGTAATTAAAGCTATCATAAGAAAAAAATATTTTGAAGAGAATGATTCTAGAGAGAGAAAGGGTTTGCTATCTTCTCATTTGAGTTATGCAGCCATGCACTGTAACCAGTATTTGCTGTTAGATGTACAAAAGCCTGTGGTTCTAAAACAGTAGCTTCACCTTCCATTTCAACAACAAAAAATAAGTCAGAAGTCAGGTCAAGCACTACTTCATTTCAGACTTGATGGTGGATTTGAATGGTTTAAACGTTACAAGCTATGCTTCAGAGCCCAAATAGGTATGCTTAAACATGAGTACAGACAAAATTTTGTGGTGAATACTGTTAGCATGCTGTATTGCATTATGTCCAAAACAACCCATTCCCAAATGCCCAAATAAAAGTAAATGATTGTGCATTGCATGATGATACCATTAGGTGTGCAACTTTGGTTCATGCAAAGTCTTATTTTATGGACACGCTGCTGACAGTCCATATATTCCTGAAGATTCTGCATATGTGAGCTTTTCAGCCATGTTCTTTCCATAACACCATATGGATACTATGGTCTGGCATACTGGTGGCAAAAACCAAGCCCATATCATTTTGGCCATTTAGTCCATTTAACCAAGACATTTCACCAGCCAAAAAGCTTGAACCTCGCTTTGACTTTCTATACTCTGGTAGAGGCCAGCGGCTTATCAGTTTTTCTGTCCTCAAGTCCATTATATACAGGTATCTGTTATCAAACAGTAGAGCAAATATCTCTCCAAAGCCCAGCAAGGACACATTTGAGAAGTCAGGAGGTTTGATAACCCTAGAAGACAACACAACATTGTTAGAAACAGTGTCACGACAGAGTCATGAACCTGCATTACTAAAACAAATTCGTATGTGTCTAAATAATAAGTGTCTAAGCTCATAATTCTGGAAGGACTTAGAACTGGATACAAATTTTTCAAATTAAGCAACTGAACACTTAGCTGTAGTCAGGCCTGTAGTTTCAGTTCTGGCTTTGTGCATACAGGATAGACCCTTCTGAATGTAAGTAAAGGTTAGGATTTGAAAGGGATTCTGCACAGCACAAGGGAAAAAAAGGTCTTATTTCCAGATACGCACAAAAGAAAAAATGTGCTTTACTCTAAGTTTTCATAGGGATTTCATGCCTCAATATCTTTAAATTAAGAGGTAGAACCTCTTATTATTCTTTTCACCACTTTTAAAAGCCAGAAGTAAAACATAAATGCTTTCTTGTGGTAAGAAGATAAATGATTCGAGATTGGTCCTTAACAGAATGCTGGTTTACTGATGCTTAGCTTAAGAATTTTCACCTCAGGGAGAAAAAAAAGTATTTGTTAGTTCCCCTACGCCTTTAAGGATATTTTTGCCTTAATAAAACTTGGAACAAAAACTGAAGAGAGTAAGTTTTCCACAACTGACTGAGCGTTTGATCATAAAAGCACATAAAGCACAGAACTGAGGCACAAAAATGTATGGAGATGAAAATCCATTTTCAGCAGTAAGAGAACATCTTTCCCTTTGGAAAGATGGGAGGGTAAACTAGGAGGTGAAGTT